ACTAGTTAATTGATGCTTCCATTGTTTTGGTATATGTACACATATTAATTACTCTCATCTTTCTTCCTTATAATTTCTAGCCCTCCGGATCGAGCACAACTTCGGTAAGGAGACGAGGCCCGAAGAAAAAGTTGAGCTCGGATGAAAAGTTTGAGATCATAGAAATCGCGCCCGACGGCGAACCGATTGAACCCATCCGAACAAGGAAGGCATTTTCTGCTCAGTGCGGGGTTCTTGTTAGGGAAAAGATCCCGATCAGCATCCAGCAATGGTATAAGCCTAAGGAGGAAGACCCTGAGGTGTCTTATGTAAATGATATGCAGAAATAATATCTTTGGACTGAGCTGAAGGCAAATTTCACCCTACCGCCAGAGGAGGATCCGGAGAAGCCAGTTAAAGAGCAATTAATCAAGTCTTGTGCTCTTAAGAAGATGGCAACCCTAATGAGGAGGTGGAGGAAAGAGTTGAACCAGTTTGTCGAAAAAAAAAGACACCAGAATTCATCGGCAAATATGAGAAGATCAAAGATCACTGGCCCACATTTGTGGCCCACAAGACATTGGAAAAGAGTAAGAAGATGTCGGAGACAAACAAGAAAAATGCTGCGAAGAAGAAGCTTCACCATCGCACGGGGTCAGGTGGCTACCTCAAAGCCCGGCCTAAGTGGTCCAAGGCTGAGCATGATCTGCTTGAAAAAGGGATCAAACCAGAGACAATGTACTCGCCAGACCGTTGCCGGACTTGGTTCTTCGGGGCTGGCAGAACCTTGGACCCTGTAACAGGGTTGTGCCAGTGGACGGACGAGCAACTGGAAATACCAGTCAAGAACCTTCGACACTATATCGATGCAGCGCAGCGAGGGACGTTCCTTCCAAACAGGGAGAAGGACGAGCTCACAATGGCCCTTGGAAATCCTGAGCACCCTGGACGGACACGAGGCATGCCAGGCTCCATTCCATGGAAGGTTGGTTTTCCGGACGCAGGGGGTTACAAGACCCACGAGAGGAGGAAGAAACTGGAGCAGGACCAACTGCAGGCGCTGCATGAAAGGGTAATGGGGCTAGAGGATCGAGAAGAGGAACGAGAAGCAGCAGATCGCAGCAAACTACCTGCCGAAGCTTCCCCCGAAGCTACCCCGCCATCTCAGCGGAGAAGCAGCGTGGCTTCCACCGAGCTGCTTCAGCCGGAGCATGTCTTGACGGCTCCTGCCAGCTATCCCGTGGATGGTATCACGGAGTCTCAAAATTGCCACATTATGGCGCGATGGATGAATTTGAAGGTCAAGGTGGCTGTTGGCCAAGTTTATCCTAGTGGACCCGGCACAACTTATCACTGCCAGCCGATTCCAAAAGGATATGCTAAGGTGATGGTGGATGAAATAACGGAGGGATTTGAGGACCTCCCGCTTGAGCACCCTACCGGTGAAGGGGAGACTAGGCTGGGTTGTGCTCTGAAGACTCCATGCCTATGGCGGAACGAGCTCATCAACCTTCTGAACTGGATGCCTCCGCCTCCTCCTCCTCCTCCGGCGAGTCAGGGCACTCCGCCTTCACCACCGCCTCCTCCTCTGGCGAGTGACGATCAGGGCACGCGTGGCGGCACTCCGCCTCCTTCTCCGGTGCGTGGCGGCACTCCGCCTCCTTCTCCGCCTGCGCCGGCGCTCCCGAGCAGCCAGCAGCCTCCTCCTTCTCCGCCTCGCCAGCAAGGGCGGAAGAGACCCGCCGCCACCCCGGCTGCTCCGGCGTGTCGTACTCCTTCTCCTCCGCCTCGTAAGCAAGCATGAAAGAAGACAGACGTCGCAGCCGCTCCGTCTGCTCCGGCGTCTAGCAGCACAACCAGAGGCGGGAGGCAATACAAATACGGTCCATCTCTCAAGCCTCTAGAGAAGTTACCGTACGAGAGGTCCGAGGAGGAAAATGATACGATTGTGCGGACCCACGTGAAGGAGTTCTTTGAAGGGGTGAAAGCAAAGAGACATCCACCTCCGGAGGAGAAGGTAGATCCGGTGAAAGCAAAGCGCACTATCGATGCCCTGAGGAAACCACCAAAGTCTTCGCCGAGAACCAACTATGAGCGCATTACTAAACAGACATATCTCCAAGCCCAGCGGTCGGGAACTACTGTCAGTGCTAAAAGGTCAAAAGAACGAGCAAAGGGGAAAAATTGCCCAGCTCGGCGAACAAGCACAGCAATCGTGCCCCCCGCTCAATGTGTCTAATGCTCCGAGGACGGTGGCCGGTTATGGCAATCTTGAAGATTACCTGCCTGACGATGCACTTCCTGATTTCTCGGAGGTGGACGAACACAAATACGAGTACGGGAAGCCTCTCGTCAAAGATGAAAAATCTCTGACAACAATGATGCGAAGATTCCATAATTGGTACATGGAAACCTGCAGAGCGTCTGAGGGTACGAATGCTTTGTATCTGCATATTAAAGAGGAGCACGACCTCGTTACAAATGATCTGTTGACTGTTCCATTTGATGAGTTCTTCGCGTTCTTCAATCAAAAGGCCCTTGATAAACTAATGGTCTTTTGCTACTGTCTGTAAGTACTATTTCTGTCATTAAGTCTCTATATATAGCTCGGCTCTTTCATTTCATGTATTTATAATTAATTATCCTCAATATATTATGCAGATTGAAGATCGTTGAGTGCAAAAAACAAGAAATTTATGATATTGGGTTCATTAACACAAATATCATAGATGAATTTCTGGTTAAAAAGGACATCAAAGAGGCCGAGGACAACGTGCTACAATCGTTGATCAAAAATCAAAACAAAGATACCATACTCTTTCCTTACAACGGCAAGTGAGTGTTACTATCGTGTGCATATTCGGTTTCCCTTATTACTCGAGCGAGGTTATAGTAATGTAATTGATGAGTTATGCATGCGTGCGCAGGTACCACTATATTCTTCTGGAGATTAAGCTTGAGCGTGGACTAGTAACCGTCTTAGACTCGAGACGGAAAGATCCCAAATCCTATGCGGACATGACTGAATTGCTCAGCAAGTAAGTTCAATCGATCATTATCGCACCATATCGACAACTTTTTGTTCATTTCCTGATATCTCAAGTAATAATAATTATTTTCTTTGTCTTGCAGGATTTGGAAACAGTTCACTGCAGAAGCTCCGGGACTGCCGAAGGAGCTGCGATATACATACCCGAAAGTAAGTACTACTAGCTAGCTAGTTGTGCGCATCTCTCGTTGATTCTATAGCTATACTTTCATCAATGCCATTTATAGTGCTTCATTATTAGTTTGATTGACCTCTATTTCTCGTAAAGTGCTTGTGGCAGGAAGAAGGGAATGATTTCTGTGGATACTACGTGTGCGATTTCATCCACAACGCGACTTTGAAAAACAAGCGGGGCTACTCTCAAAGACAATATGAAGTGCGTAAGCAATAATATTCATAATTTCATTTTATTACACCATCATTTCTGTTGAGTTTCATTCATATATATGTATTAATTAACCCCCTTCTTCAAATTAGACGTGGCAGATGCGGAATGAACTCCTAGAACCAGATCGCATGAAAGCAATTCAAGAGGAATTGGCGGGATTCTTTCTTGACCACATCATCAATAAAGCCGGAGAATACCATGTGGAAATTGATTTCAAATGCTAGGGGATTGTAATTAAGAGATCTTATACATATTGTACATGTCTGTAGCCAGTAGCATCAGATACATGATATACGAAAACTTGTTGTTCGACAAATCTCTCAGAGAAGGAGAGGTCGATCGATCACTTCTCTCGGTATGCATACGAATTTCTGTATTGAATGGTTCTCTCGATCACTTATGTATATATAGTACGTAGCATCGACCAAGCACGGACATAAGAGAGGCCACTTCTCTCTATTAATTAGCCAGCTAACACAATATATGAAACACCTAAATTAACCCCCCAAAACCCCCAACCCCCCCCCCTCCTTTCAAAAAAAATAACAAAAAACCCAGCCACTGGAATGCTGACGCGTGGATGCCTTTTGGTCCCGGTTGGTGCCACCAATCGGGACCAAAGGCCCCCCTGACTGGGCTCGGCGCACAGGGCCACGTGGAGGAACATTGGTCCTGGTTCGTGTTTGAACCGGGACTACCATTAGTCCCGGTTCATGAACCGGGACTAAAGGCACTTACGAACCGGGACTATTAGGTGTTTTTCTACTAGTGGTGGCATGAATCGGGACTAAATTAACCCTTCTATACCGGTTCAAGGTACGAACCGGTACCAATGGCTATGGGCCAGAAGCACGGCCCATTAATCCCGGTTCGTGCCTAGAACCAGGACAAATGGATCCAGACGAATCGGGACCAATGCCCACGAGGCCCCGGCCGGTCCCCTGGGCTCATGAACCGGGTCTAATGCCCCATATGGGTCTCGATTTGTGAAGAACCGGGATTAATGGGCTGGCCAGACCCAAACCAAAGCCCTGTTTTCTACTAGTGCGATGGGGCGGCCGGAAGGTACCCGAGCTCCATGATGGCGCCCTCAAGAATGTGAGGACGCTATGGTCGTCGTCGTCGTCGAGAGCAAAACGGTGCGCGACACCCACGGGCATCGCTGCATGCCACGGGAACGTGGAGCTTCCACTCAAAATCTCACTCATGCCACACAGGGAATAAACCAGTAAACGCTGGATCTATATGATGGAGATTCGAATCACATTCATCCGGAGGCAAGACAAGCTAATCAGTTCAGGTCGATCAGCCAGGAGTACATGAGTCGATGGACCATACTATCTAGCTGCTACTACTAATAAATCCAAATCCAAGACACACGGTAGGACATTCTTTGTTAGAGGGTTATCATTCAGATTCGGTCCCCTGTCTCTCCCTCTGCACTGCTAATATAAGCTTGCACGGTCACCGCGCGCTGCCTTCAACTTTCTCAGAGACATGCATGCCGGCGCATGCATGCATGGGATGAGCGAGATGCATGCACGCACGCAGGCACGCATGGTGGTGGATCGATAAGATTGAGAGCTAGGTGTGAGGGCCGGCCTCCAGCTGCTGGTCCTGCGGCGCCATCCTGTTGCGGTTGACCCAGAAGGAGCTGAGCACGCGGAGGCGGTGGAAGTAGTCGGAGACGGCGAGCAGCGACCGCGCCATCTGCCGCGCCGTCAGCACCTGGTGCAGCCGGTGGAGCATCTGCTGCCTCAGCTTCTCTGCCTGCATCCATCCCATGCATGAAACAACAATTATCAGTGCCAGATCAAGCATACACAAACGCACATGCATGCATGCATATTACTGATGACAATAGATTAGTACGTGTTTTATCAGCATTTGACGTACGCTCTGCCACCGTCACGCCAGGATCAGGTAGCCAGCAACAGTTGATTAATTACAGTATGTGTACATGCGACGGCAGGTCGCCTTAATTAATATTGCCTCCGTCTCAAAATAAGTGTCTCAACTTTGTACCACCTTTAATGTAAAGTTTTTTTTGAGAGATATCTTTAGTGTAAAGTTGTAGTAAGGTCAAAATACTTATTTTGGGACGGAGGAAGTAGTAAGGATATAATTCATATGATACGCGCGGGTGGTTCTGTTGTGGAATCCATGAGCAGGTGAAGGGCGGCCTAAACAATGCGTGCACCTACTATGCCGGCCCAACAAGGAAATCAGAGATCGGTGAACAGATTAGCTAGATCCTAGTACTGTGTGTTAGCCTTGAAAGATTGTATTGTTAATACGTAGGAGTAGTAGCTACTTATAGTTAACTAATCACGCGTGCCGATCCTTGCTAGCTACCTCAGCTGTTCGTCCATTTTCGGGATGGCGACAGTCAGGTGCTTTTCTAAAGTTCAGAACCTAATCCATCCATATATACAGATGCATTAGACTGTCAGTGGTAGTAAGTATAATCTAGCCGCCTGCACGCTGACTAATTAATCTAATCAAACGCAGTCTCAATCGATCGATCGATCTAAATTAATTAGGTGAACCATCGGATGTACCCTGTCAACTAATCAAGGAATATGCATATTTGGCTCGATCGATGGATGGGTCGCAGCTCTAACAGAAACACTAGAGCGACATGAAATGCAAACTACTCCCTCCGTTCCTAAATATAAGTCTTTGGAGAGATTCCACTAACCATATACGGATGTATGTAGATGCATTTTAGAGTGTAGATTCATTCATTTTGCTCTGTATATAGTTCATAATGAAATCTCTACAAAGACTTATACTCCCTCCGTTCCTAAATATAAGTCTTTTTAGATATTCCACTGTAGAACTATATTCGGATGTATATAAACGTCTTTTAGAGTATAGGTTCGCTCATTTTGCTTCGTATGTAGTCTATAGTAGAATCTCTTAAAAGACTTACATTTAGGAAAGGAGGGAGTATTTAAGAACTGAGGGAGTAATGAAGAGTGATGGAAAGCGACCTGTCTGACGAAGCCTTCGAGGGTGGTGAGCTTGTGGACGGCGAGGCCCATCTGGCCCATGTAGTTGGAGACGTTGGGGGTGGAGCAGCAGGTGAGCGCGTCGGAGACGACGGTGTCGGAGAGCGCCTGGTAGAGGGTGTCCAGGCCCTGGCTCAGCGCCTCCTCCGTCTGCACCGCCGACTGCTGCAGCCCGTACACCGCCACGATCTGCTGCTCCGTCAGCGGCTCCACGTGCGAAAGCACCATCTGCATCCAATCCACACCCCGTCACCACCGTACGCCCAAATTCAATTGAGATAAGAGATCGATCAACATCAGAATAACACATGCATGCAGTTGCCTGAGCAAAGATCATTTCAGTTACTGTTAGATCGAGATATGTATGGCATTTCCACAAACAGGAGGAAGGGCAGAAGGAGACGCCATTTAATACTGCCCCAGAATGCGTCGCAAGCCATCGATCGTGCCCGCCGCACGCGCCGCGGAGACGGCGGGGCATGCCTGCCTGCGCGGTGCAGCGGGGATCGAGGGCCGGCTGGTTAAGCTCTTCAATGCGCGCGGCGGGAGGGAATCGCCCGGCCGGCCCGGATCCATGGCAGGTGCCTCCCCCTGCCTAGGTCGGCCCCTAGCTGCTGAAAACGAGAGGGTTCTTGCAGGCTCGCGTCACCCGGCGCCGAAATGCGCATGATGATGGACTACGCAGCCGAGTTCGCCATACCGGCTCCCTCTCGCACGACTTGAATGCCGCGAGACATGCATGCATGGCTAGCTATACCTACCTACACGACCAAGTCTCTCTGAAACATGTGGAGCGTTTGGTTTTGGTGTATCCATGTCGCAAATCTTGTAAAAAAACCTTGCTAACTATAGGTTATAACTGATAGTAGAAAATTTTCAGCAAAAACCTATTTACTATTTATTTTTTCCCTCATGAGTGCATCTCCACTGCAATTCCCCAATCGTACTAATATTTATTTATTTTTACGGTAAATCGCTCTGATATTTTGCACAAAAAACCCCACATTTCAGACCATCTTCTTAAACTCGGTGATTTGAAGTTTTAATTAGGTGGTGAAGTTCTATAAAATTTTGTAACAATTGAGAACGAGCAAAGCCAAGAAGGGTGGAAGAACTTGAACAAAACATGCACTGCCTTTGTTCCAAGTAAGACTACATGCATGATTTTCGAACCTCTCTATATTTGACCACTAAATAATAATACTAGGCGATACCTTGCGCCTTGCCACGGAAACCTTGTTAATATAATTGTATTAATACATACTGGAAAATAAAATCAAAACTAATACAAAAGTAAATGTAATATAAGAGTATTCTCGATTTACATTGATTTAACAGAATGTCATTTTCCATCAAAAATGCGAGCATTGAACTACGTAAGTATGTAATATATGGCAATATAAAAATTAACTCAAAAATATAACTTGTGACTGACAGGAATGGCTTGCTAATGTGGCATGGTTAAATTAATGCAAAAAGTGTAACTTTTGCTTAAAATGCATAGGTGCTGATATGGCAGACCGCATGCTTAGAAAAAAATAGGTAGTAGATTGCATGCAAACAAATGTAACTTATGATTTGTGATTGACATACTAGGTGTAGATGTGGCATGCCTCCATGCTTAAAAAACTAAGTAAAAGGTCGTAGCTATTTAGAAAATAAAGAATGTTATTTAGATTTTTTTAATTTGTACCATTGGATTTATAACAAACAATTAACTTTTATAATTAACCCCCCTCAAAAAAATTATTTTTATAATTAACTTTTATGTAATCATAGTACAAAGATTAAATGGTTAAAAAGGCAAAGGATTCAAAGCTGTAGTAGTTCCTGAATTCCTAGTCAATAAAAGTTCAAATCCTTTGCCTTTTCACCTTAAATAAAAAGCAGAATATATCTCAATTGTCAAAAGGGGGTACTATATATGGTTTCAGTGAACTATACTTTTTTTAAGGAAGGGATCTGGTACAACTATGCATGTTCAAAGTAAACCTTTCTAGCTAGTGAAATCAATCAAAACTGAGGTACTATGGGAGGATTTAACAATGGTGTGTATGTGCGTCCTTGTAACCAGACATCATAGACGATGGTCTAGAACGAAGTAAATTTGGTTCCTGAAAATTTCTGATAATTTTTTTTCAGGTGTTCAGAAGGATATATGTTCCCACTTTAACTTTGTTTTATCAATGTTTCCCAAAAGGCAAAAAAATTCACCCCATAATGTTAGGCAAGAGTTGCTGCAACCGAGGTGGTGACTGTGACCGACACTAGATCTAGGGCTAGGGTTGATCCGATCTGAAAAAAGAAACGCAATTGTAAGCAGACGTACCTTGATGACCTCGGAGGGGCGGAAGCCGCCGAGCCAGAGGAAGCAGCGCTCCGCGGGGCTCCTCCAGACGCCGGAGATGAGGTGGAAGACGTCGCCCTTGATGACGGCGTTCTTGATGGCCAGCACCTCGTCGTGGTGCGCCAGGCAGCTCTCCACGTACATCTGCAGCTCCCCCTCCGGCAGGTGCTGCTGCAGCGCCGCCCGCAGCTCGTACATGAGCCGGTTGTGCTCCTCCTGCCACCGCGCGTACTCCACGTCGAACATCGCCGCTTCTGCTGGCCAATTGCTTCGAATTATAGCTTGTAGCAGCGCGACGACATGCATCTGAAATTCTGGATTGCTACCTCAAGGACGGAGATGGGGATGGACGGACGGGTGGGTACCTGAGCTGAGGCCGTCGATGCCGCCGATACCTTTTCCGGCGATGCCTTGCTCGGCGAGGAGGCTGCTGCCGGGGTAGAGCACTCCCTGTGCACACACACACACATGAATGTGCATACACAGATTGGGTAGAGACTAGAGAATGAGAAGAGAGCGGCTTTGATTTTCTTGCAAATATGTACCTGAGCTCTTGCGCTGTGGAGTTCTTGCTCGATCTGAGCTAGCCTGATCCTGCTGGACTCGAGCTGCTGGATATAGGCCTATTGAATAGAGAAATGTAAAGTAATTAATCAACACTGTGCAAAATGAGGCCGCCATTGATCGTAGAGAGAAGAATGTTAACCAATTAAGGTTCGTTTTTCATGTAGCATAGCATATAGATTTTGCCTTTTCTGCCGCTCGTGTTCTTGCCATTTGGGTGTTATAAAACTGTTGCTTGACTCACTCACCTTCTTCCTCAGCCTGCTCTTCCTCGCCGCCTCCCTGTTCTGGGCTAGCCTCCTCAGCGTCTGCATTTCGTCAATTACCAGAAATTGAGTTGCATCTCCAACACAACCATGGAAAGAAACACCAGCAGCACTACTGCCTATATATGCTTGATTTTTCATAAGGACACTTGACAATAAGACAAGTTTAGTTAGTTGTTACTTTTGGGTCGCGTTCGCCGGTGGATAAGCCCCTTTTGTGCTCCTTCTGCAACCACGAAAGGAGATCAATAACATATACAATCCTCAGTCAATTAAAACAACAATATGACACGGGGCCGGCAGCGGAATTAACAACAAATCTAGCTAGCTACAGACAGTTGGGTTAGTTAATTAGGTGAGGTTAACTGGTAGTGTAGCTAGCTAGCTGCTCTATCACGGTCATACTCACCTTTGTCAGCGGCTTGACATCCTTGTTGTTGCTGACCCCTGCGGACTCGGCGGTGGCGAAGGCGGGTTGTTGCTGCTGGTGCTGCAGGTGGAGGTGGTGCTCCTGCTGCTGCCTCCTGCTCCCCGCCGCCAACTCCTCCATGGCCGCCGCGGCTGCCTGCTGCTGCTGCTGGTGATGGTAGTCCGGCGACGACCTGCCGCTCGGCATCTTGGACCCCACGGGCGCTGGCGACAGGACTAGACCAAGCTCCCCCTGCACGCCAATCACATCACAACCACAAGGATATTAAACAAGGTGGCAAACATCAACAACAAAACCAGATCGATGAAGTTGTGGCTTACCTTTGGTGATGGCTCCACATGCATCGGCTGGGAGGGGAAGATGTTGAGGGTCTCTGCATCCATGAACAAGACGAACAAGCAGGGAGAGAGGCAAATGAGTGAGCTGATGGAAGGAACCGAGCTAGAGATTGATGCACATATACAGGAGCTCGCCCGCCACTGGAGCTGTGGAGGTTGCTGTCGTACGTTCTCGTGCGGACGGGAACAAAATAATCATGGCAGGCGCGTACAGCGGCAGCGAGATCGCTGGCACTGGCGCTCTGGCGGTACGAGCTGGTGGTCTGGCCGTCCGTCCTGGCGCGCGACACACGAGAAAGCTGGGCTGGGCACTGGGGTACGGGGAGATACGGCGCAGTGGGAGCGGGGCCGGGGCAGGAGGGATGCGCACAGCTTAGGCATGCATGCTCCTGTCCTGCCTGCGCCCGAACCGGAAGAGAAGCGGGCCGGGGAGTGGATAGGGCTCGGATCGGGTCAAACAAACGCCACAGATGCGGACGCACGCCATTGCAGGCGTAGCGGTGGTGGAGTCCGGAGGCGGAGATCACCCCCTCTGCGTGCATGTGTCTGCGCCCCGCTGCCGCGGGCACATGCAGCATGCGGCATGCGGCAGCCCCGTCGCGGCCCTCGCTCGCCGCGAAATGATTGAGCAGCGTCTGTTACATGTCACACTCACGGTCCGACCGCCCAAACCGCAAAGGAGGAGAGAGAAAGGGGAGGATGAGAGAGATTTTTGTTGTGTTGCATGCGTTCCATGGACGACTTTGAGCAAGCATATGTGTTCTTGGAGGGATTCCACACCACACCCACATGGTCCTCGCCGGGGGCAGGCCGGACACCGCAGATTTGCAGCAGCAGATCGATCCTGGTCAAAATGGGGTACCTGCCTGAGAATCTGCCGCAGGCCGGCCGGCCGGCCATACGATCGTTTTCCCTTGAACTCCGGAAAAAGATGCATGCGCCTTTCTGCATGCACCAGATCAGAGCTAATGGCTAGGCGGCATCTCTGTCTCTGTACAGTCTACACCCGTCACATCTATATTCCTCTTCCTATATGCGCCAAAGTCCTTTCCTTTTGATGGAATATATGTAATGGCCTTGTTTGGATCCATGAGTTAGAGTTAGTTTGGGTTAGTTTGGACTCAACTAACCCAAAAATATTCAAACATGAGGGTTAGTTTGGGTTAGATGCATCTAACCCATCCGAAAAATCTAACCCACCCAAGAGGTGCTTATTTGGGTTAGTTCTTCTCGGGATCACTAAAAAACACATTTTTCTCTCGCCCTCTCCGCAGCAGATCTCTCCCCACTTCCTCGAAGCTTCTCGTCCTCTCCCTCCCTCCCTCTCACACCGCCTGTGAAGGCGCCTTGCCATATTCGCGCTCCATCTAACCCTGCCATCCAAACACCTCTTTGGCTAGAGTTAGTTCAGGATTAGTTCAGGGTTAGAATCTAACTCTAACCTCTAACTGAGTTAGATCCAAACAGGGCCAATGTATGTGTGATGTGCCAAAGTTGACACATCAGTTTCTGAGCCCTACCTACACCGCCCCCCATTAACTACCGTTCACGATTAAACGCAGAATTAAGAAAGCGCCAATCAACTTTAACCGTCACTTCGTAATAATACGTACTACTACACGGAAAACACCTGCATTTAACCCCTGCAAAACTGCAAAAGAAACTGAAATTGACCCCGTTTTCTCGCAGAGATTTCGTGCGTGCACTTACGGCGCTGCTCTTGCTGCGTGGAGGCGTGGCCATGGTCGAGGTACATGAACAGGGCCTGGTCCAGCTCCCCCAGATGGTCATACGCGCCTGACGCCTCCTTGCCGCTCCTGCATGAATGCATGGTTGTGCAACACAAACTCATAAGAATATACTATATCACTATTCAGTAGTAATATGTGTGGTGAAAAGAAACATGTGATTTGCTGAAGAATGCACAGGGTTTGAGGAACCACACACACATCATCATGAAATCATGCGCGCTGCTGCCATAAGCTAGCCTATGAATGTGTGATGCTATTATTGTGGCCTGGTCCAACTCCAACCCCTCCTCCTCCTCTCTGCTCTGCGCTCGCTGCAGGAGGAGTGGGAACAGGAGCGTGTTGTGGAATCTTCTCTAGCCTTGCAGCACTACCACTAGTAGGAGTAGTAGGAGGCATTTATTTGGCAGCCCAGGAAATATGCATGCATGGCATGGCTAGCCCTGGAATTTCTTGTGTGCAAGATATGCTCATTGAAAAATATGCAAAAGCATGCATGCATGGACTGGTACATACTACTACTAGACTAGATGTATGTATGTACTGCTAGTGCATGTATAGAGTGTGTATATGTTTGGCACTTACTATGTACTATAAATAATATTTTGTCCTAATCATTTAATTAATGGCAAGTGTGTTCTTGTTGTCATTCGGAAAACAATTGCTAATTAGTGTACCTAATGTCCAAAGGGAAGACTAGTGAGTTGTTAATTTCCACAACAATTCAACTATCTGAACCAAATTAACAAGCCATGACAATTCAGCGATCCGGCTCCAATTATCAGAACAGAACAATTCAACCATCTGCACGAAATATTAAGAAGAGAGGCGCCGATTGAGAATCGAAACTTGTTTCGCACATCTTCTAGAATTTCTCCTCCTCTCGGAGCAAAAGACAAAGAAATAGGGAATCGATGAAATTGTCAAAGTACTTGGATCTGTCGTGTCACAACCATATTCCTAATCTAAGAATCATCACTTGACTTTCCAAGTTATTTACATTGGCAAACAAAGGCGGAGACAGATGAACATGGATGAAAAAATTCGGTAGAAGAAGGCAGGTTTTCTAGCCTTTCTACTAGCCAGTTCATGTTTATCAAGAAACAAATATAGAAACCAATTAAGACAGGCAAGAACAATTATGTATACCCGGTGCAAGAACCACAGAAATCAAGCAAATTAAGGAACAGCTGGAGAAATTTCGCCAAAAAAAGGAAGAGTTGAAGAATCAGAGAGAACATGAAAAGCATAATAAAATCCATTCGAATTCCCGGATCGATACGGATAGATCAAAGACATGCGAGAACAGACGGGGGGAAGCAAATTAAAAAATTGAATTGGATTCAAGTGAATTGAGAACCGCACATGAAGCTCGCGGCGGCGGCGTGCATGGAGGAGGAGGAAGACGAGGAAGGAGGGGCATGGTGATGTTGATGGCTGCTCATCCCGAAGGTGATGTCCATCTCCAGCGGCTGTTGCTGTTGCTGATGCTGATGTTGCTGCTGGCTGATGATGATCTCCTGCTGTTGCTGCTGTCCCTGGCCTTCACTCATCATCATCTCGAGGGAGACAGACGCCGACGGTGGACGACGCACACGCGCACACACAGGGAGGGGGGCTACAGCTTCCTCTCTCTCTCTCTCTCTCTTTCTTTCTGCGTCTGCGTCTACGTATGTATATCTCCGGCCGGGCGAGACCTAAATACGGCTGGGTTTGACTCTAGGGGGGCTAGCTGCCAAGGCACCACCTCTCTATCTATCTGCCTAGCAAGCTATCTTCTCCGCACCAGCAAACTACCCCGCAGCCGGCCGGGCGCCCGGCATGACCTCGGTCGATCTATCTATCTATCTCTCTATCCGGGGAGCCTAGCTCGTGATGGCGCCTTGGAGCCTAGCTAGCCGCTGCTTTGCCAACAAACTACTACCAGTTCTCCCCCCTTCGCCTCTCTAATGACGCTCTTGTCTACATGTATGTGTGTAGTATCTCCTTTTGCTTGCTTGTGTGTGTGTGTGTGTGTGGGACTGCCTGACTGTAGGTCTATGGGTTCCAGAAGGGCTGAGAGGCCATTAATGGCGAAACAGACTTTCTGTTCGGCTCCATGCCCTCTTGCAACTAATGGCGCGCTTGCAAACACCCCGCTTTTCTCCCTCTCTTCCTCTCCCTTCTTTGCTTTGCTTTAACCCCCTCCTCTCTCTCTCTCTCTCTCTAGTCTCCCTGTGAGGTGGGGGAGCAGGTGAAGCACAACTGCACAATAACGTTGCCACTTTTAGCTTTGTTTTTCTACACGTTTTTGCACCGAAATCGTTTCATTTCCCCCCATTTCGGAATACCGATCTCTCAGCGTGACATGCTACTATGGTGTAGCAAACTTTGTTGCTTTTTTTGACGACGCGGATATTAACCCAAAATGAACACCTCTACTTAGATATTAATATTGTCAAGTTGCATACATACCATACATTTTTGGGAATTGATTGTGTTTTATGAAACTTGGGTCCTGGGTTTAAAGAGAGCTTTGTGGGGAGAACTTCTTTGGTGAATGTGGGTGCTTCATCTTGGTCAATATGTGGCTATGTCAAAAATTACTTTTTTTCTACGAAAAGAAAACTTCTAGACGATCGTAGGTTATATCGTTGCGTGTCAACGTGCTTCAACTTCAGTATTCGTTACTATGCGATTAGGCGGGCGGTTGCCGGTACTATGTCCCAGCACAGGTGGTGATCATGTTATAAACTTCGCGCAACTTTTTAGAGGATGTGTTGTCATTCCGTTTGATCGATTTGTCATATTTCGCGCAAGAGTTCGTAGTCACTTTGGGGTTTTGCGCTTCACTAGGCGCAAAGGTCAAACATGTACTCAATTAAGTTTCTCGGAAAAATCCAATCTGCATATAGCAACTGGTAATTAAATAATATCTTCCGCACTCGAGATTTTTTCAATGGTTAGACGATGTGTTGTCAGTCCGTTGATCGATTTGTCATATTTCACGCAAGAGGTCATAATCACTATTGGATTTGCGCTTCACCTAGACACAAAGGTCAAACGTGTATATCAATAAAGTTTCTCTTGAATCTTTGCAATTAAAGATAATCAGTACGCAACCAAGCAATCGATCGAGGATGCTGGCATATTATTGCGAAATGAATACGACAAAGCTATTTACGATGCTCGAATGTCGTTTCTCAATTTTGGTCAAAGATAATATCATTTCCAGCAGTACATAATCATTATACAACCAAGCGATCGATCGAGGATGCTGGCATATTATGGCGAAATGAGTACGACAAAGCCATTTACGATGCTAGATTGTTGGTAGAATTTTGGTCAAAGATAATATCATTTCCATTAGTACATGATCATTATACGACCGAGCGATCGATCGAGGATGCTGGCATATTATGGCGAAATGAGTACGACAAAGCTATTTACGATGCTAGATTGTTTGTTCTGAATTTTGGTCAAAGATAATATCATTTTCAACAGTACATGATAAATTTTGTAATGAACTTAGGCCCCATGCATTGAGTAGCAATCGTGATGATCACGCTTTATAAACTACATGTAACTTTGTATATGATGTATATTTGATTGATATGTTGTTTCGAGCAAGACTTCATATTATAGCTTTTGGTTTTGCACCTTATCTCGAGCGAAGGTCAGAAGAGATAATAATAAAGTAGCTCCTTTATAACAAATCTCCATGGCAATTACTTCATGCATATCTAGTGCACTCTAGATTTTCAAAGCATTGCAGGTCCGCATGACAATAAAGGGAAGTGTATCTGATGTATTCACAATATCATTTTGAATCTCTAGAATTAAATACAAGAATTATGCACTCGAGAGCAAACGGACGAGGATGGGGGTATTTTACTCTTCTAGAGTTACAAGATGCAGAGACCAAGTGAAAGCCTCTATTTAGAAAAGGAAAAAAATGTTGCCCAAAAGGTTCGTCAGAATGACACAACTATATATCTGGTGCTATGTCCCAACACATGTGGTGATGACATTTTAAACCACCCAACATTTTAAATGGTGTGTTGTCAGTCTGTTTATTTTATTTCTCATATTTCACGCAAGAGTTCGTAATAACTTTTGTGTTTTGCATGGCACCTAGACGCAAAGGTTAAAAGCATATACCAATAAAGTTTCTCGAAAAAAAAAGAATCTGCATATCAATTAGGAATTAAAGAATATCTTGTATACTCCATATTTCTAAATTGTTTGAGGTTCACATGGTAATAAACAAAAGTGTGTTCGTCGCATGGAAGGATCCCGGCAAGTTCCTATCTGAGATTACCACCGGCCCTGCCCTGAGCTGACTTCTTTGCTAGTAGTCAAGTGCGTTTTCACTTAGCTGGAAAAGTCCATAATCTGATTTGAGTGCTTTGTATTGTAGAAACCTTGCTTGTTCTCGTACAATTGAATTAAGTTGATCTATAAATCTAGCTGCCTTAACTGCGGATGTCGAAACCAATTCACTTGAGTGAGACAGAGGAGAGTGGAATTTCGTGTGTAGGGGTGAAATCCGTAGATCTACGAAGGAACGCCAAAAGCGAAGGCAGCTCTCTGGGTCCCTACCGACGCTGGGGTGCGAAAGCATGGGGAGCGAACAGGATTAGATACCCTGTTAGTCCATGCCGTAAATGATGAGTGTTCGCCCTTGGTCTACGCGGATGAGGGGCCCAGCTAACGCGTGAAACACTCTGCCTGGTAAGTACGGTCGCAAGACCGAATAACGGTAACGGCTGTTTTAGAAAGCACCTCTTCCTTTCCTGAAACTCAAACAACCCACTAGGCTACTAAAAGGCTAATCCAGACGAAGAAGATAGCGAGAAAACCTCAAGCCGAAGTAAGGGCGGGACCATCTTGTTTTCTGACCGTTTGGAGCTGCGGCCTTTTGAATCAATAAGGTATTGACTGGTTGTTTTTACCTTTCGAACAAAGGCCACTACTCTTTGGAAAAGGTCCATGAGTCGAATCAGTAAGATTTCATCAAGAAGATTTATCACCGTGCTATTCCATTGTTTTGTTATCTAGTCGGATCGCGTAAGAGCCCCCTTCTTTTTCTAGTTAGTTGAAAGAAAAGCAATGGGGAAGGTTGGCTTACCAGTTAATTGGTCTGTATCATATCTTGCTATGGTGGGACATCCCCTTCAGTTTAGGTATCCGGGCTGGCTGTTAGCTTTAGTCGTTCGGCACTCTTCCTTAATTCTCTCTCAAACTTCTTTTGTATCTATACAATTAAAGATAATCGGTGCACAACCAAGCTATCGGGCTATGATGCGGTCATATTATTGTGAAACAATATGGCAAAGCTATTTATGATGCTACATTGCTCGTTCTGATTATATTACGGATGAAGGTAATTTCAGTTCCAGCATTACACGATAAATTGTTGTAGTAAAATTTGGACCCATGCATATAGTGCCCCATAATTGTAGTTTTTGCAAGAGTAATGTTGGCAGCTGAGCAATTGCCAAAGTATTTATGACATAATTGTTGGAAGTATGCCCTAGAGACAATAATATTACATTATTATTTATATTTTCATGTTCATAATTAAGAGTTTATATTCTATGCTATAACTGCTATGATCCCGAAAATGTGATTCAGTGAAAAACTCATATGCACATGTAGAACGATAAACGGCAAAAAGTAAGATTCCTAGTCTCGTCTTTAAGACTAGATCAACTGTTGTTGGTGATCATGTTCTCCGGACCTTAGAATATCGTTAAGTGTAACGATAGTCCTAAAACAACATTGAGAGTATGACGTTAGAACAAAGTTCATATTGAATCGACCCAAACTTGTTTTTTATACTTTAAGATGATATCGTCACAAGCCAATTATTATAACACGGAGTGTTAACGTGTGATTTAGTTCCTTAGACAATGAGAGTATTGTAGTCACTTCTTACCATACGATGAGCTTTGGGGTTGCTCAAATGTCCTCTGTAGCACGGTGATCATAACAACAACTTACAGGTTCACCCGAAAGTTTGACAAGGGATTCAATAGCTCAAAAGTGGAATTTGTTCCTCCAACGATGGAGAGAGATGTTGGGGAACGTTGCATGAAAATCAAAAAAATTCCTACGAAAACCCAAGATCTATCTAGGAAAAGCAGAACAATGAGAGGGGAGAGTGTGTCTACGTACCCTCGTAGACGTTAAGCGGAAGTGTATATCACACGGTTGATGTAGTTATACTCGTCATGATCCAAACCGATGAAGTACCAAACGGAAGACACCCCCGCATTCAGCACACGTACGGCTCGATGATGTCTCCTCCTCCTTGATCCACCGATCGAGGGAGGAGAATTAGATGGGATTGCCGGTAGCATGACGGTGTACAGTGATGGTTGTGGAGTGATTCCGGCAGAGCTACACTGAGCGCTACCGAAACAACAAAGACGAAGGAGTTACGAAGTAACAAGGGAAAGAGGGGGGCAAGGGCTTGTGTATCCTCTTGGGGGCACCCCATCTCCTCTATATATAGGTGGAGGGGCATGGTGGCAAGCCCTCCAAGCCGTAGAGTCTCACTAAGGGGGGAGAGTTG